TCCCCAGCAACCTTCCCAAGTGACCATGCTTTTGCTCATCCCTTCACCAAGGTGGTTCCAGAACTCTGAGCTGGGCCTCCCCCATCTCACCTGCACACCTTCCCTGGGTGGCCTCACCCCCACACCTGTGGGGTGCTTGCCCCCTCAGTGCTGAGGACTCCCACTTCTCTACCTGCCCCCAGCCTCTCCCCTGAAGGCCATACACACTTTCTAGACTGCTCAGGTCCTGACAGAACACAAGTAGGGGAAAGGACAGGAGTGGGGCCATGGAATCCCACACATGAGGTGGAAATGGGCTCTGTCCCCTTGCCTGGTTTCACTCCTTCTGCCTCTGCACCCCAGGTCCACAGCATGGTGCACAGGCACACAAGTGAGCTCACGCATTGGACCCCATTCCTGGAGAGCAGGAGCTGTCTCAGCATTTGGCTGTCCCCACACCTGAGTCACAACTGGATTTACTCAAGGCTCAATGAACATGGTGGCTGGGTCCTCTGGGAAAAGGGGACTTACTGGAGAGTTCGTGGAACTGATAGGAGCTGGATGTGGGGACAATGAAGAAGGAGGGAAGGGAAGAGGGCAAGGATGGCTCTCAAATTCTGACTCAGGAATATGGGGGTACCATTCATTACAATGGGTCGGGCAAGGTGGCTCACACCTGTAATCCCAGGTGTGAAACCTTCCTTTGGGAGGCCAAGGTGGGCAGATCGCTTGAGGTCAGGAATTCAAAACCAGCCTGGCCAATGTAGCATCCCCATCTCAACTAAAAATACAAAAATTAGCTGGGTGCAGTGGCACACGCCTGTAGTCCAAGCTACTCGGAAGGCCAAGGCTGGAGAATCACTTGAACCTGGGAGGTGCAGGTTGCAGTGAGCCGAGATCATGCCACTGCACTCCATTATGGGTGACAGAGTGAGACTCCATCTCAAAATAAAATAAAATAAAGAAAGAAGATCAAATGGGTCATAGAGAAGGTGCTTTGGAGGGACAGTGAGCTGTGGGGCTCCCCGGCCTGTAGACAAGCTTGCATCAGCCTTCTCGCTGGGTCAAAGGCAGCTGCACATCTCACTGGGATACCTCCAAGCCCCTCCACCAGCAAGGACTCAGGCTGGAGGATTAGGCCCTTCTTGGCTGTGCCACACCCCAATGGAGGTCTCTCTGGCTGGGACAGCTAGCCAGCTTGGCCATCAGGGTCTCCATCAGTGTCACCATCATGAAGGTGGCATCCAGCCACACTCTGACTCCTCATGGTGTGCAGCTGCAGGGGCCCACAGGGAGAGGGCCTCAGAGGAGAATTGCACTGCCGGGACTAAACCCCACCACCCCTGGAAAACACGCCATTCCCCCTCCTCCTCCCAAATCCTGAAATCCAGCTTCTTCCCTGGAAACTGTTGCCTTGTTATGAGATCCAAAGGGGTGGGAATGCAGGGCTTAGGTTTATCTTTTCCTGCCAGGTCGCTGGATTCAGGAGCCAAGAAGAGTGATAAAGAGGGAGGTAGAAAACTTGGCGAAGATTGCGCAGGATGGGGCCCCATGGTGGACACGTCTTGGAGGCTCCAAGTCTTATCTCCAGCTGGGTCTCAGGGTAGTGCTCAGGAGAGGGACGCATGGGTCTCAGCCCCAGTCCCACAGCTCTGCCTGCTTGAAGCAGAGCCACAAAGGCTGATCCTGGGACCCTCCTGACACCTGGATAACTTCACCTGCGCTCCACCAAACCCTCTTTTAAACTCTGTCCCTCCTTCCCACCAGACATTCTTCCAGATACACGTGTACCTTTCAGTGTTCATCTCTTTCCCCTGTATCTGAGGATGTGTCTGGGCATCCATGCTGCTTGCATCCGGGTGTGTGTGTGTGTGTATAGAGAAAATATTTGGGGGTTAAGGTGTCTGTGCTCCTTACCAGCGCAGATAGATTGTGTGTGGGGTATGAGCACATTTGTAAGTGTCCATGTTTACAGGAGGGTTTGTAATGTGCTTGCTTGCAGGTAGGGAGCATGTCTGTGTGCACACATACACATGCATGCCTGCAGTACATGTGTCGCTGTAGACATCAGGTTGTGTCTGTGCAGTGGACCACCCACATGCTTGTATGTGCATCACATGTGCACACACGCTTCCATATATTAAATGTGTGTGTGGATAATGCTGAGTGAGCATGAGTTTGAACATGTATGTCACATGCCCCGGTGTTGGCTCACTCTAATCAGAAGTAGGTCTCTGGAAGATGCAGATCCTGGCGCTGCGAGGGCTGCTAAAATTCTAAGCATATGGCTGGGTGTGGTGGTTCATGCCTGTAACCCCAGCACTTTGGGAGGCCAAGGCAAGTGGATCATCTGAGGTCATTAGCTCAAGACCAGCTTGTCTAACATGGTGAAACCCCATCTCTACTAAAATATATACCATCAGGAGAGCTCAAGACCAGGTGTCGTGGCATGCACTCATAGTCCCAGCTACTCAGGAGGCTGAAATGGGAATATCGCTTGAATCCAGGAGGTGGAGGTTGCAGTGAGCAGAGATTGCACCGCTGTACTCCAGCCTGGGTGACAGAGCCAGACTCCATCAAGAAAGAAAGAAAAGAAAGAAAGGGAGGGAGGGAGGGAAGGAGAGAGAAAGGGAAAGAGAGAAAGAGAGAGAAAAAGGAAAAAAGAGAAAGAAAGAAAGAAAAGAAAAAGGAAGGGAGGGAGGGAAAGAGGGAAAGGAAAGGAAGAAAGAGAAGGAAGGAAGGAAGGAAAGAGAGAAAGAGAAAGAAAAGGAAGAGAAAGAAAGGGAAAAAGGAAAGTAAGGAAAGAAACCTCATCTCTACTAAAAATACAAAAAAATTAGTGGGGGATGGTAGTGGGCACCTGTAATCCCAGCTACTCAGGAGGCTGGGTCATGAGAGTCATTTGAACTGGGGAGGCGGAGGTTGCAGTGAACTGAGACAGCATCCCTGCACTCCAGCCTGGGTGACAGATCCAGGCTCCATCTCAAAAGAAAAGAGAAGAAATCAGGGTGGCTGTGAGGTGAGCGAAGGGAGCGAGCTGAGCTTCTCACCCTCCTGCACCAGCCTTGGATCTCTTGGCCCCAGTGAGGAAGCATTTCCTGCAGGCCTCTTTGGAGGCCCAGGCTACCCTGAGAACAAACACCACCTATTCCTGCAGGGAGGGGCTGTCCTCCCTGCAGAGGCTGGGGCTGTGCAGGGTGTCAGGTGAAGACAGCTGCTTCCAGCTCAGATAAGGCTGTTTGGCTCAGATTTTCCATTTCCAGGGCCCTCCCCCTTGGGTCTCAGCCCCTAAGATCTGGACAAATGGCCTGAAGAGGGCTCTCCACTGACTCACCAGCTCCCCACCCCCACCCTGAAAACTGCAGAGCCAGGAGGGGAGACTGAGTCCAGGAAGAACAGACACATGATTAAGGCCTCAGGCCAGCAGGGACAGCTTGTCCTGAGCCATTGGGAACCAAGGAAGGGGTTTCTGGAGCAGGCCAGGCCCAGCCTGGGGGGCCCTCAGAGCTCATATCCCGACTCCTGGACCTCCAGAAATCTACCTAGAGCTGGGAGGAAGGAGGACTGGCCTCTTCTCTACAACAACAGTGCCTCTTTCCCTGTGGATGGAGCTCAGCTGCTCCAGCCCAGAGGATCCCGAGACTCCAGGGACAAGCAGCCATTGCTGGGGACAGAACTGGGCCTCCAACCATGGGCCCTGTCCTCTTCCTCCCTCACCCCTCCACAGCTTCCCAATAGATCTGGCACCTCCAGCCTGCTGGGCCGGCCTTCCCTCCCCCTTCCCAGAGAAAGGGCCAGGGGAGGGGTTACTTATAGGCACTGGCTCAGCAGGCTTCAGGACAAGAGGAGCCCAAGCTCCAGGGCTCTGCTCCCTGGGCCTTCCCCAGGGGTCTCACCGGCCAGGCAGTGTCCACTTTCAGCCCAGCAAAAGGCTGCATCAATCAGAGTGGGCAGTGGGGGTGAGGAGGCCAGGTCAAGGCAGGGGGCTGGGCTGAGACCTGGGCCAGAGCCCACTTGAGCCACCACAGCCCATAGACCAGCTGGGCTTCCTCATAAGCATTTTTCAGACTAACTGGGACTGGGCTAGGGCTGGCAGGGGAGGTCTTGGAGGCTCCAGCCCCTCCTTGGCAAGGCCTGGAGTACCATCAAGCTGCCACTTCCCCCAGCCTCCAGCTGCATCTTGCTTTGACATCCTGTCCCAGCTAGGACCCCTATCCCTGACTCATGGGTCCCCTCACCAACAGGGGAGTGCCTGAGGGGGCCATTCAAGGCCCCTCCTAACCAGTCCCCCCGCTGATCTCACCTCCGTTTCTCAGCTGCTGCCACCACAAACCGCAAACACAAAACTCTCTCACAATTCTGTGATTGCACCTGGGTTCCTACTTCTCAAACAGACACATTCCTCCTCATTCTCCAGATCAGGGTACAGCTTAACTGCCCCCTCCTCTGGGAAGCCTCCCCTGATAAAGCCTGTCCTTGCCTTGTTACCTCCACTAACCCCACGTGGTGTCCACTAGAACACAAACCTCATCACACTCCATCTTCCTCCTCCAAAGCAGGGCTGTGTTTCTCAACCAGTGGTCTCTGGGGTGTGGCCACCTGCCCCCCAACCAGGCAAGGGGCTCCCTAAAGGGCAGGACCATCTCCTTGTCCCTATGACCCCATCACTCATCCCCACTCCGTCAGCCAATGCTTGTGAAATGAGTGAACTAATGAATAAACAATGGGTGATGGGTTGGGCACAGCAGCTCACACCTGTAATTCCAGCACTTTGGGAGGCTGAGGCAGGCAGATCCCATGAGGTCAGGAGTTCAAGACCAGCCTAAACCCTGTCTCTACTAAAAATATAAAATTAGCCAGCTGTGGTGGCACATGCCTGTAATCCCAGCTACTCGAGAGGCTGAGGCAGGAGAATTGCTGGAACCTGGGAGGTGGAGGTTGTGGTGAGCTGAGATCTCACCATTACACTCCAGCCTGGGTGACAAGAGTGAAACTCCATCTCAAAAAAAATAATAATAACGATGGATGATAAAGAGGAGAAGGAAGGGAAGGAAAGCAGGAAAGACCCCCCCTTCGTGTCTCCTGAGCCCAGGTAACCACTTGGTGTCCCAGTGGGCGGCAAAGCGGCAGGGGCAGCCCAGACCAGGTCTCAGCGACACGGCTCAGCCCTGGGCAAAAGCCAGATCGGTCACTCTCATTCTTTCCAGATCAAAGTTCCCCCAGGGAACAGCGTGGAACCTGACACTGGCACCGGGAGGGTAGAGCCAACTGGCCCATGCAGCAGGAGGGCACCATGATGCCAGGCGCCTGTCGTCAGACCCAGAGATGGCAGAGCAGCAGCCAGAAGAACCTGGATACAATACACACGCTTGCTCCAGCCCCGCCCCTCCAGACACAGGTCAGCATGGATGGTGGGAGGAATCTTTGGCTCCAGGCGTTTTTCACTCGGACTCCCCAGAGCTCTAATTCCCCATGGCCGAGGACTCGTTCCTTGCACTGCCACCTCCTCTATATTTCTTTTCTTTTTCTTTTTTTTTTTGGAGACAGAGTCTTGCTCTGTTGCCTGAGCTGGAGTGTGGTGGTGCAATCTTGACTCACTGCAACCTCTGCCTCCCGGGTTCAAGCAATTCTCTGTAATCAGCCTCCCAAGTAGCTGGGACTACAGGCACCCATCATCATGCCCAGCTAATTTTTTTTTTTTTTTAGAGACAGGGTTTTGCCATGTTGGCCAGGCTGGTCTTGAATTTCTGATGTCAAGTGATCCACCCATCTTAGCTTCCCATAGTGCTGGAATTACAATTGCGAGTCACTGCACCCGGCCTGTATTTCTGTATTTCTCTTTATTCTGTTCTCTCCTGGGTCCTGAATCCCTTGTTCTCTCTCTCCATCTTGCTGTGTCTCTAGACATGAAGAACAGTAGTGAGGGGGCATGGTGGCCTTCTCCTCTAAGGAGATGGCTGTCTTCATGTCTGCTTCCTCTCCAGGCCCCGGTCCCTACAGCCTGCAGGGAACAGATTCGTCCTCCTGGTGGGCTGGGATGGGAGAGCGGGAGAGAGAGCTGCAGCCAGGCCTCCTTGGCAGCCTTGGACTCCTGGATCTGAGCCTGTAAGTAGGCAGGGGGGATGTGGGCAGAGCCTGTCTAAGTCAGAGGGTTGGTGTCCCCAAGCCAGTCCCTGAGACTGCCACTCTCCTGTCCTTCCCCATTCCACTGTTGGCTGAGGAAAAGCATGCCATTGTCAGAGGTAGCATGGACTTCATGCCCCCATGCTTGCGTGCAGGCTAAGGCACGAGGGCACATGTGCACACACACAGCAGAGGGAGCTGCAGGACTCTGCATCCCAGTCATCACCCAGCACTCTTTTGGCCTCAGTTTCCTTATCTGTAAAATGGGGATCATAATAATAGTATCTGTGTCCTAGGATTGTTATGAGGATTCAATTAGTTCATGTTTGTAAGTCCCTTACAAAAGCCCTTATGTCTGGTATGTAGTGATCACACATGTACACACACACACACCCTCTGAAGAAAATTAATGAATATGCATATATGTTTAAAATGGACTCAATAAAAACTAGAGGTGGCTTTCACCTTTATCCCATTGCCCCAGGCCGAGCTGGACCTTGGTCACAGCAGAATTAAACAGGCTTGACGTGAATGGTTGCTGTGAACGCAGAGCTCTGGGGTGCATGCATTTCTGCTGATCTGCTTGCCAAACAAAACCAAGTTCACAGCAGCTGGAAACACACGTAGAGAAGTCACAGTGCTTCAGATTGAGATGGTTGAAACCTTTTTCTTCTGCTTCAAACACACAAACATGAGCTCTTTTTAAAAGTAATAATAACACAAACATGAGCCATAACAAAAGGTAGACAGTTTTGTAGACCAAAACTGGAGACTTCTCCTTAGGAGAAAGGAGACTGGAGCCAGGAGGGGACACAGGAGCTGATGTTGGCAGTCTCTGTGAAAAGAAGACAGCAGGGAAGAGGTTGGGCCATGGTGCCGATGCCAAGCAGGACTGGGAGCAGAGCCTGGCTGCCACTGGGACCCGCTCTGCCAGTGGGTGAGCATAAGCCAGAGTGGTTACACCGCCTCTCCAAGGTCATGGCAAAGGTCAAGCCACATGCCTGTGGCTCAGCACAGCCACCACACTCACAGGTACTTTCCCAGAAATGCATCACTCACATGAGGTGGAGACCCACAGTAGATACTTCTGAGATAACTGTTGTCTAGAGCCCAGCCCAATATGAACCAAGCTGAGGTCACTAACAGATGGACTTGGTTTCTAGAGACTCTCCAGATAACCCACAACCAGGAAGCACAGAGCACTGAGGAAGACCAACGTCATGTAAGCAAACAAACTCTGCAAACAGGGGAACTGATTACTGAGAAAATCATTTTAGAGCTAACCAAAAAGCACTTTAAAGAAAGTATCTCTAAAGTCCTCACCTGTAATCCCAGCACTTTGGGAGGCCAAGGAAGGTGGATCACTGAAGGTCAGGTGTTCAAGACTAGCCTGGCCAAAACCCCCATCTCTACTAAAAAGAAAATTTAGCTAGGTGTAGTGGCACATACTTGCAATCCCAACTACTTGAGAGGCTGAGACAGGAGAATCAGTTGAACCTGGGAGGTGGAGGCTGCAGTAAGCTGAGATCACACCACTGCTTTTCAGCCTGTGTGACAGAGCAAGAATCTGTCTGAAAAAACAAAATCATGAGTGGTCCTTATGTGAGAAGAAGAGAGAGGGTTCAGGAAGTCTACAAAATACTGCTGAGATAAATTAAAGAAGACCTAAAGAAATGGGGAGATATACCATATTCATGGATCTTAAGAATCAACATTGCAAATTCTCAATTTTATCTAGAGAGTATCACTATGTTAATCAAAATTTCTGCAGGCATTCATTCTTAAAAACAGACTAGTTAATTCTAAAATTTACCTCAAAAAAATTTAATAAGAAATATGGGCCAGGCATGGTGGATTACACCTGTAATCCCGGCAATTTGAGAGGCTGAGACAGGTGACTCACCTGAGATCTGGAGGTCAGGAATTCAAGACCAGACTGACCAAAATGGAGAAACCCCATCTCTACTAAAACTACAAAAGAAAATTAGCCAGGGATGGTGGCACACACCTGTAATCCCAGCTATTCAGGAGGCTGAGATAGGAGAATCATTCAAACCTGGGAGGCGGAGGTTGTGGTGAGCCAAGATTGCACCATTGCCCTCCAGCCTGAGAATTAAGAGCAAAACTCTGTCTCTAAGAAATAATAATAATAATACAAAAAATTAGCCAGGTGTGGTGGCATGTACCTGTAATCCCTGCGACATGCGAGGCTGAGGCAGGAGAATCACTTAAACCCAGAAGGCAGACATTGCGGTGAGCTGAGATCACACCACTACACTCCAGCCTATGTGACGGGACGAGACTCTCTCTAAAAACATAAATAAATAAAAATTAAGAAAGAAATATGGGGGGAGGACTCAAGATGGCGCTGTGAGAACAACCCAGGATTGGAGCTCTTCTCGTTGAATCCGCAAACGACTGACATTAGGCAGGCATCATCCTGGGAAAAAGAGAGCAGAAAAAGAAACTGGTAGCATCCCTCGCTGTGCCACAGCTACTAGAGATGCACCCCAGACAAGCAGGGTCTGGAGCGGACCTCAGCAGTCGTACAGCGAAGGGGCTAGACTGGTAGAAAAAAAACCAAGCAACAGAAATACTTCATCATCAACATTCTGGGTGTCCACTCAGAGACCCAAACGAAAAGTCAGCAACTACGCAGACGACCAGCGGACAAATCCACAAAGATGGAAAGAAACCAGCGCAAAAAGGAGGAAAACACCCGAAACCAGAACACCTCGCCTCCTACAAAGGACCAAAACTCCTCACCAGCAAGGGAGCAAAGCTGGACAGAGAATGACTGTGACGAAATGACGGAATTAGACTTCAGAAGATGGATAATGAGAAACTTTTGTGAGCTAAAAGATCATGTATTAAATCAATGCAAAGAAACTAAGAACCTTGAAAAAAGATTTGAAAAAAGATTCGAGGAAATGATAACAAGAATGGATACCTTAGAGAGGAATATGAATGAATTAAAGGAGCTGAAAAACACAATACGAGAACCTCGCGAAGCAAACACAAGTTTCAATAGCCGAATTGACCAAGCAGAAGAAAGAATATCGGAAGTCGAAGACCAACTCAATGAAATAAAATGAGAAACCAAGATCAGAGAAAAAAGCGCAAAAAGGAATGAACAAAGTCTCCAAGAAATGTGGGACTATGTGAAAAGACCTAACCTACGTTTGATAGGTGTACCAGAAGGGGACGAAGAGAATGAATCCAAGCTGGAAAATACTCTTCAGGACATCATCCAGGAAAATTTCCCCCATCTAGCAAGACAAGCCAACACTCAATTGCAGGAAATACAGAGAACACCACAAAGATATTCTGCAAGAAGAGCAACCCCAAGGCACATAATCATCAGATTCAACAGGGTTGAAATAAAGGAGAAAATACTAAGGGCAGCCAGAGAGAAAGGTCAGGTCACCCACAAAGGGAAGCCCATCAGACTCACAGCAGATCTCTCGGCAGAAACACTACAAGCCAGAAGAGAGTGGGGGCCAATATTCAACATTCTGAAAGAAAAGAACTTTCAACCCAGAATTTCATATCCAGCCAAACTGAGCTTCAGAAGTGAAGGAAAAATAAAATCCTTTGCGAACAAGCAAGTACTCAGAGATTTTGTCACCACCAGACCTGCTTTACAAGAGCTCCTAAAAGAGGCACTACACATAGAAAGGATCAATCAGTACCAGCCATTCCAAAATCACACTGAATGCTAAAGAGCTTCAACATAATGAAGAATCTACAACAACTAACAGGCAAAACAGCCACTTAGCATCAAAATGGCAGTATCAAATTCACACATAACAATATTAACCCTAAATGGAAATGGACTAAATGCACCAATCAAAAGACACAGACTGGCAAATTGGATAAAAAGCCAAAACCCATCAGTGTGCTGTATCCAGGAAACCCATCTCACATGCAAGGATACACAAAGGCTCAAAATAAAGGGATGGAGGAAGATTTACCAAGCAAATGGAAAGCAAAAGAAAAGCGGAAGTTGCAATTCTCATCTCTGATAAAATAGACTTTAAAGCAACAAAGATCAAAAGAGACAAAGAAGGCCATTACATATGGTAAAAGGATCAATACAACAAGAAGAGCTAACGATCCTAAACATATATGGACCCAACACAGGAGCACCCAGATACATAAGGCAAGTTCTTAATGACTTACAAAAGGACTTAGACTCCCACACAATAATAGTGGGAGACTTTAACACTCCACTGTCAATACTAGACAGATCAACCAGACAGAAAATCAACAAGGATACCCAGGGCTTGAACTCAGACCTGGAGCAAGCAAACCTGGTGGACATTTACAGAACTCTCCACCCCAAATCCACAGAATACACATTCTTCTCAGCACCACATCACACCTACTCTAAAATTGACCACATAATTGGAAGTAAAGCACTGCTCAACAAATGCAAAACAACTGAAATCATAACAAACAGCCTCTCAGACCATAGTGCAATCAAGTTAGAACTCAGAATTCAGAAATCGACCCAGAACCGCACAGCTTCATGGAAACTGAACAACTGGCTCTTGAATGTTGACTGGGTAAACAACGAAATGAAGGCAGAAATAAAGAAGTTCTTCGAAACCAATGAGAACGAAGACACAACGTGCCAGAACCTCTGGGACACATTTAAAGCAGTCACTAGAGGAAAGTATATAGCAATAAGTGCCCATATGAGGAGAATGGAGAGATCCAAAATTGACACCCTATCATCAAAATTGAAAGAACTAGAGGAGCAAGATCAAAATAACTCAAAACCCAGCAGAAGACAAGAAATTACTAAGATCAGAGCTGAACTGAAGGAGATTGAGACACGAAAATCCCTTAAAAAAATCAATAAATCCAAGAGCTGGTTTTTTGAAAAGATCAACAAAATAGACAGACCACTAGCCAGATTGATTAAAAAGAAAAGAGAGAACAACCAAATAGATGCAATAGAAAATGATAAAGGGGAAATCA